TCCTCTCCCACTCTTCTTCTCCAACTAACATGGATCATGACATGATCCTTGCAGAGTACTGTAAGCTACAACACTGTGACCTAACACAACTTCACCTTACAGAATGTTCCCCCCTTTTGCCCAGGTCCTCCTCCCTCAAAGTACTGGCACAATTAAAGGGAAAAAAAATGTATATGAAGAGAAAGAACAACAAAGATGTTGTAGAACAGAACAAAAGGGAAATTCTCACATGGGATTTGCAATGAGAAGGGGAAGTTAAGAGAAATTGCAAGGCTGCTCTCTCACTGCCTTCTCAGAGAGGTACTAACAGCGCTCAGAGGTAAAGGCCAGAGGGAAGCAGCCCCTGAACACAAAGCTGTGGGCACTGGGGCTGGGTTGAGTTTTGTTACCTACACCATACTATGCCTGTCCCTCAATGAGTATCATGAGGCAGGGTGCTCCCAGCAAACAACTACTGCTTTTCCAAAGGTTTCCAATACACTGCAGTGTTTCCCTCCTCCCCTCTGGAGCCACAGGCTGCCCAGGACACTCAGCATGAGTGTGCCAGGGCAGAGAAGATGCAGGTCTGCATCTGCTTCCCTGCTCATTAGGGCCAGCCTAACGGTCTGCAGTGAGTGCCAGCTTCCTCTAAACTGCAGCCGTGCACTTGTGTCATCATTTCATTTTGGAGCCTGAGAGCCCTTCAGAAGCTGAGTGGTGAGAGCAATAAGAGGTGCACATTGAAACAAGAACTGGGCAGGGGCAGTCATCTTCCTCTCGTGGTTTGATGTCTTTGTCATCCGGATGAGTCTTTGCTGCCTGTTAGCTCCCAAGACTAAGTTGATAATGTAGGTATTAATTATTATGCAGAATGTGCCACTGACTAACTGAACGCTCCACTGTAGGCACTGTGGTGATGCGGCTGATTTTATGCATGGTTGCCGGCTGGCGCTCCTGGGGGGAACGTGCTTCTGCTTCATTACCAGTCAGCAGCAGGCTCTTACAGGTGGCTGTCTGTGACAGAGCTGCTTCTAACCCAGCATTTGTGGCCATCCATGGGTTGTCTACTCACAGTTGAAGATGTTGATGGGAGGACAATTGTGGCAGTACCTCAATAAAGCCATCAGGTGGAAAAGAGATTGTCATAGATGAGTTTTCTGTGCACTCACAAGGATGTGAAACTGCTATGGTGAAGTGGGACTCTTTTCTGAGATGTATTAAAACTCAGTGCATCTACTCTGGGTATGACTTTACCACTAATCCAAGCCATGGTAACTGCTAACCCAGTGTAGCTAGTAGAGCTATAGCAGGAATGGGGGACTATTGTATGTTGTCTGAGGTGCAATCTGTGTGAAACCTTGGGATTCCTTGCTGGCAAAGCTGTCAAATGGTATGCAGTCAAAAGCCCCACAAACTTTTTAAAATTAACATCTGGGAAAAATAAATAAATAAGGTAACACACAGATCTCCCTGCAACTATCCTGCTCCCCTGGGATGTGCAGTGCTCTGTTGAGCTATGGCCAGCTGTCACTGTGACCAGCTAAGGCAGCACATCTGTGGGTGCTGTAAGTCAGCAGAAATTGATGCTTGTACTCACGGCACCAGAAATGACTTGCAGTTTTCTAAGCTGAGAGAACACTACATGACTACGTTGCAGACCCTTGTGTCTGCTGGGGCCAGCTGAGACCCAGAGGAGATGTCCCCATTACAAATTCTCTGCTAGTTGCCCTGAGTACATACAGTCTGGGAAAATCCCCTCCCTAAACAAGTTTAGCCATGACATTAAGAAGGATGGACAAGGAAAGGTTGCTGTGCTACCAGTGGTGTTTGACTCTCAGAGTGCACAAGTAGAATTACCTGTATCTCCTTGCTGATCTCCACAAAGTCCTTGTGCTGTTATGGCCATTTCTGCTGCACCATGGTATTTTTACTGCACATTTCAGGAGAGGATTATTCTGGGCCTGGCAGAGTTCTCCTAAGGCTTTCCTTTCCTCTCCTCTCCTTTTCCTAAGCTCTCTGTTGGGCCCTGAGTTTAACACAGAAGGCTTGCAGTCTGCAGCTGTCACAATAACTTTTGCATTGTCTGCAAATACCCATCTCCTTCATATTCCTCCAGCCAGTCAGTTGCCTGCTGTGTGTGCTTTATGGATATTTCTCTGTTTTCCTCTTGCTCTGCTTAGCAAACATGTTTGTCCTGGCCCACGCGAACAATAGCTGTGCTGAATAGCTGTAATGAAAGACATGGAGAGAAAGGCTTTTTTTTTTTTTTTTCCTTCTCTGCTGGGAAACCTGTGGCTTAACCACTTGTTGTTGGCATTTCCAGGTCATTACTGGTGTCTATGAAAGTGCACTTTGCAAGAAAACGCAAAGGGCTGTTTGAATCATATCCTCTGCGGATCTTCCCCAGGCAGCACAAGCCAGGCTGGCCAAGGATGCTCAGGAGCAAGTTGCACTTCAGTGACCTTCCATCACCTGCAGAATGTCAGACAGAGCACAGCTGCGTAGCAAGGCTGGCTCTGCCCACACCTCTGTGCCTGGCAGAAGGCTGGATATCCTGCTAGGCAGGCCACCTACACCTGACAGTACTCCTCACAGACAGCCACGTGCTTTCAAGGCACAGCAAAACATGTGCTCTTGGGCAGAACTGTCTGCCACACCATTTTCTTCCTGAGCTTCTAGGTTTCTTCTACCTCACCCTCATCCCCCAAGCAATTCGCATAAGTGCAAAGACGAAAAGGGAATCATGCACAATTATTTGGGCTAAAGGAAGTTGATGCACATGGGACACTTGAGAATACAGCAGAGGTGGATATGATTATAAAAGCACACTGGTAGAAGAAAATAGGGCTGTGTCATGTAAGGGGGTGTGGAGACTGAAAAAGAGGTCAGGCTGGAGGTGGAGTTGAATAAGAAAGGCAAGTGTTGGAGTTTCTTGTGGAGCTGGGATGAGAGAAGCTGTGGTAAACTGGGCCTTAATAGGTAAGGTTTGTTTGTGTGTGTATGGCCTACCTCTGATAACAGAATGTGGCTTGAAGCACATGGGAATCGTCTCCACCTTTTATGGGTAAAGAAAGGCCCATGGAAATTAATAATAATAATAATAACAACAACAACAGATACAAAAAGACACTAACAGTGGGAGCAGGTTGTGCTTGTGGGTGTGACAGATCCTGATGAAAACATGGGCTCAGTAATGGCATTTATTAGCCCATGCTGAAACCACCCACTGTGGATGTCCTTGCATGTTGAGCTGCAAGGGCTGGTGTTTGGCTGCATGCTGTTGGCTCAGCAGAGAACAGTGCTACCTGTTCTCGCCAGCCTTGCTCCCAGAAACAAACTGGCAGGGCACAGGGGGATCTCAGAGCATAGTCCGTGCTCTCTTCCAGCAGCGGTGTGAGCCCGTGCTGACACTCACCTTGTAGAGGGCAGTTGCTTTCCCTGCCCTCTGCCAAGGGCTCATGGTGTTTGTGCTTGAGAGCCCCTCATCTGCTAATCTCACAAGAAGATATGCTGCTTTCTTTGGTCTCCCTCAGCCTCCATCTTTCTTGGAGGCTATTATAAAAACATGTTTTAAGAGGGAATTTTTAAAGAGAGGAAAGATGATCTCACTGGCGCATAGGAGTCCTGCATTTTGGGCATGACTACCTGTGTTTGGTGCCTGAGTTTCCATACCTAATGTTTAACCGGGAAATTAATCAGGGATTTAGGTCGTCTTCTGGCACTGCTCAGTTTACATAAGTGTGAGGATAGGAATGAGTTATATATGCTTGGGAAACAACGGCCCATAAAGATTCACCCTGTAACTATGGAGGCAATCAAGTAGATAAATGGATAAATTTCCTTGAATGGCCACACTCAAATGTCTTCCCTGACCCCCTCATTAGGAACTAATCTTCTTCTGCAGCATGACTGGGAAGTGTTTAGAAGAGACATTATTCTTTCTCCCCTTTCTATGCACCCTTCACCTTTTCTGCCTTTGCTGCTTCTGACCTTGCCTACTGTGTGTCACTTTTACTGCATCTATTGCCCTGTCTCGACTGCATTTTTAGGCTCTGCTGGTCATTTTCTCTCACAGGCTTGCCAGCAATTCTTCATTTGGTATGCAGGCACTTATACACCCCTCACAAGGAGATGAAACATCTCCTAAATGTTGAATTCTATTATGACATCCAGATTATTAAGATATAAATATCTCCTTGGTATAAAGGGGGAAGAAAACCACAGAGGGGCAAAGTTGCATGTCAGCACCTTAGAAAACTCACTCATACCTGTGTCATTCCAGTATGCAGTAGGAAAAGGAGATAACAAAGGAAGGTTTACAGTGACTGAAACAGTGCTAGGAGTCAGTTCTGCTAACTGAAGTGGTTAGGGTTGTGAGGGCTGTGGCCACTTGGGTAGGGGTTTCCTTAGATGGGGGCTAGCTGCACGAGGGAGATGGATGAACTGAGGTCCCACTGACACATCAGCCTCCCAGAGAGAGCTTTATTTTGAGTTAAATCAATCTTCCCTGCTCCCAAGCCTTTGAAAACTGTTTGATGAGACACTGTTCTGCCCATTCACCCACGAAAGAAAAAGGGAAGACAGGTGCTTAATGAGTGTTAATAAATAGCACTTTATTTCCATGGTAACATTTATGCCATTAGGCAAAGACATTTTAACAAAGATGCCCTTTCTGAAACAGAAAAGTACAGCAAAAATTCATTTCACCTAACTATAAGCACTTATAAGCACATTCTTTGGGAGTTTTCTTGCCCCCAAACTCCTTCAAGAGTCAAAATGAGATAGAGGTACCTCCAGAGATGATTAAATCCAGGTACTCTCTCTCTCCATCCCTTCATCCATCAGCTGGGATGGGTCCCTGCTGAGTAGATTCTGATTCCACCTGGCATTTATCACCCATGCTCTTTAGATTGGTGATGCATCTTCACAGCACCATGTTGGTTGCCAGCATGAATATGTTGCTTTTGCCTCTGAAGGAAGGTGATGATCTTAATAGTTCGTTACGTAATCCTATAATCATGCATATAATCATATATAACCAATAATCATGCACCCATGGGCATGGTCAGCCTTTAAGAAAAGCAAATGCAGGCATTATGTTTTGAGTGTGTGCTTGATAATGAGTCTGTGATGTTTAAAGACATCTGTTAAGCCGGTATAATGAGGATGTACCAATGTAAGCACTAGTAAACAGAGAGTAAGTAGATCTTTGGAACCATTCTTTTACCAAGTTTTTTTCTTGGAGGAGGAAACTATATGCTGTCCTTCAAGGTGGACTGTGTCTTAGGCACTTGCTATGACCCTCCATGAGTTTTCAGATAAGCCTTATGTTTTTGTCTTGCAAAGGTTTTTGGAAATGTTACCACATTTATTTTATTTTTGCAATCACGCTTTAAGAGAACAGAAAACTGTTTGAAGTGATGGCTTTGGCTTCCCAGAGGTACTGTGCTGTCATGTCTGATACCCCTCTGAGACTTCAGGTGACTTAAGTGTGTCACAGGACCCTGCCACTATTTTCAGAGGCTTGTCACTTCAGTGTGGGATGGAAGTGGAGCTAAAAATGTTTAAGAAGAACATACGCTGCAGTCTCTTACTGTCTGTGTTTCTAGTATTTAATTCTTTAACTCTATGTAAACTCCTCTTCAAAGCTTGGGTACTAGTACAGAACAGGATCCCTTTAAGTGACTTTGTGCAGGTGCATCTGGCCATGTTATTGAAGACTCACTCTGTTAAAGGACCTTTGAGTATCAACAAGGTTTCTTTATTGGAGAATGCACTCATGTGGCTCTTCTGTCAAACACAGATTTTTGATTCCCAGTCCTTTTCATGTTCTCCAACCTGTACTCCTGATGTGGCTTCCCAAGTACTTTCAATCTTAGGGTCTAAATAATAAACCACAAATGGTTTATTTGTCTAGCTTATTAGTCAGATGAAAGATCAAGAAGGAAATGGAGTTCAGAGTCCAGTCAGCTTCCTCTCCTCCTTGCTTCTTCATCCCCCAGAGGCTGAACTTCTCTGCATTCTGTAAGCCAGTGTAAGCAGAGTCTGCGCTTACCTGTGCACTTAATAGATGCTCTCCCATGTTGCACCAACAGTTTGCAAAGGATCTGATAAGCAGTTAGGAAGATACATGGGCCAGATATACATCTCATTAGTGGGAGTGAAAAAAAGGAAACAACTCATTTTGCTACTTTCTTACTTGTGAGCTCAAAATCTTCCCTTCCTTTCTTTTCTTCTTCTTCTGTCCTCTCCCTTAGCCTTGTTGTCTCTAGACTGTGTGACTCTACAGCAGAATAGTTCAACTCCCTTCTACAAGTAATACATTCAGATTACAATTTTCCTAGAGAGGAAGGATGAAAATATATGGTGTGTCAAATCATATATTTTATCTGTCATCTAAACTGTACAATTTTGTAATACCCTTTTATATTTTATATTATCATGCATTTTAGATACAGTGCTGCATATTTCAGACACCTTCTGTCTGTGACGTATTATACTAGATTGACTCATGCTGCAACAACTTCTCAGTTGCTTTTATCATCTCGTAAAAGGATAAGAACTACATGCCTTTGCTGTTGCTTTCTTTGCCTTGCACTACCTAGTAGAATTCATGGAAATAGACAAATGGTTTTTTTCCATAACCACGTGGATAGAAAGAAAAACAAGAGGTGATCTGAATCTGAAAGTGTCTGTGCTTCTGAAATAGTGTCATATTTAGTTTCTCATTTTCCAGGTATCCCAGAACAACCTCCCTGCAGCTGTTGTGCATTCTGTGTACAATAAAAGAGTTATATGCTCTGGGTCTGACTCAGCACAATTTGCTGGAAGCTTAATTTTGCCTATGAGCCCTCTCATTCCTCTATGGGAATGTGTGTGTGAGGCAGGGAGAGATGGCACCATATGAAGAAACTCCAGGGCTTGTGCTGAATGCTGGACTCAGTCCACATGAAGCTAGGGTGGTGTGATTTATGCAGTGGATTTATATATGTGGATTGCAGTGAATTCATGTTGATATTGAGCTGTTGATGGTTGAAACCATTAATCCTGTACCAAAATTGATACGCAGTGTTTTAAGACCACTCTGCACACTTGAAAGTGGTCTGACAGAGTAGAAGGCAAAGGGAAGCAGATGTGAAAGAAGATTGCCAAGGGAATGGCATGAAGAGGTTCAGGTTGGGTATCAGGAAAAGGTTCTTCACTGAGGGGACGGTTGGGCACTGGAACAGGTTCCCCAGGGCGGTGATCACGGCACTGAGCCTGCTGGAGTTCAAGAAGTATTCGGACAACACTCTCAGACATAGGGTCTGATTTTGACGATCTCCTGTGTGAAGCCAGGAATTGGACTTGATGTTCCTTGTGGGTTCCCTCCAACTTGTGATATGCTATGATTCTATGACCTGCCTGGTGGAAGTCTTAAAAGGAGCTGGGTAAGTTGAAAAGTCTACTTAAATTTCATTTCTGTTGGACTGTAGGTAGGGCAGAACTCTGGCACTGTGAGACATCTGAGACAGATGAGATAGAAAGTTCTTTGTCTGTATAGTCGGACAAATGACAAGGCCGGTCTGGCCTTTTGTGTATTCATCAAGTTTCCTGCTATCTTGAAATATTCATGTCTTATAAAATTTATTGCTACAGGGACATGTAAACTGCTCCAGACACAATAAACAGCATTTTGGCCTTTTCTCTAAGCTCACCTGAAACATTTCTGGTTTCTTTGGTTTTTAAGCAAGTTTCTTCTTCATTTCATCCAGTATGAAATGTCAAGAAGAAATCCAAAGTTAAGTATTTCTGATATATGAAACTTCAAGAAGTTCTCAGAATCTATTGTAAGAACAAATTTCTGCAACATTGCTGGCTAGTCTCCCATTTCAGGAAACATGAATCAACACTATGGCTTTGGGATACTTAGAGTACAGTTATACTCTACTATATTTCTCTACCACTTTCATGCTTTTACATGTTTTTACGTTTTGAAAAGTAAAGATTGATTGGGCTTGTTTTTTATTAAGACCACATAACACATTGCTGGATCGGCTTTAGCCATGGAGGTCCAACATTTTCTTAAACCATCCCTGGGAGTGTTTAAGAAAATGTTGGACATGGTGCTTGGGAACATGGCTTAATGGCTGATATTGGTGGTAGGGTGATGGTTGGACTAGATGATCTTGGATGTCTTTTCCAACCTTAATGATTCTATGCGACATCATCAATTTATTGTCCATAGAAAGTCATTGGATAGATATCTCGTTGAATAACAAAAACTGTAATTTCTATTTTGTACTCTTCAGACAAAAGTGATGGTGGATGGGAATGAATGGATTCAGGGGACTACAGCAACACTGCCCTGGAGATTAGACATCAGGGATGCTGACAGAGCAAGCACAGCTCAAGGGATAACAGGATAAGTAGCTTCTGCCAACTTGTTTCAGACAAATTGTTACCCTGCTACGAGATGCTTTGTAGTCAAATAAACAACTCTTCTCCTAGGAAAGACCAAACAAACCACCTGACAGCTTCATGTGAATACTTGGCAGATGTTAACAGCCTTCAACAACCATTCAGCTCATCTAGGCTATTAGAAAATGATGTCCCTTTTCATCATTCCGTTGGTCGTCTAGTGTTCCAGAGCTGGTGCTGGACCCCATCCTCTCCTGCCTGAAAATGAGAACTTTTTCCTTTCATCTTACCGACAGCTGCATTGCTTCTTAGCAATCTGTAAGTTCCTACTTAGACTATTATTCACCCAACTGAAAAATGAAAATTCAAATTGGAAGTGTTTAGTTCATTTCTAAACGTGTGCCCTAGAGGAGGTTCTACATTTAGTGGAATCTGCCAGAAAGTAAAATAACTCAGACTCCTATATAGTCTTGTGGGCAGGTGGGCTTTAGACAGCATGAAGATTAAACTGCAAAACCTAATGTAATGATGCATTTTTATTACATCCAAAGTAATTTCTTCAACCAGCTCCAGAATTTTACTTTCAAAGAAAATATAGCTTAGTTTAAAATTAAAATAGATTAAGTTAAGTGCATCTGGGGAATATGTACCAGTGCACATCTACTCATCTAATGTAAATTATTTCATGCTGTTTATGCTGGCTAAATAAAAGTGCATGTAAATATCTCTATTGATACACATACGTTGGTTTTATATTGCACAAAGGAAGAAAAAAAGGGCTTGAGGAGGCAAATTCCTGAAACAAAACTCAAGCTAATGGCTTGTGAGTAAGATGTTAGTAGCACTAACAAAGTGTTAGAATAGCAAAACCTTTCTATCTTTGTTTATTTACTTACTTATTTATTTTTTCCTGACCCTCTTTTTGTAACATCAGATGCTAAGTTTTACTGGCTATCTTGCTTGAAAAGGCATGTGTTGGGGTCAGCGTTACCTTGATAGATTTTATAGCTGATATTTGTAAAACTTGAAAATGTGCACGTCATAATCACTTCATCCTAAGATCAGTGGCACTTTAAGGTTTAAAGAGAAAGCCTTCATGTTATTCATGAAGTGTACTCTGAGGCTGTGATGCCAAATAGAGACAGAAGTGGCGGGGAAATGTCTCTCATGCACTGCTGAGTGATGCCAGCATGTGGAGCAGTTTGTGTTCAACTCTTGTGTCAGTGCTGCATCACGAGTCCGTGCACTCCTGTGCCTGGCAGCTGAGTGGAGTGACACTGTGTGGTGATAAACAAGGTGTGGGGAAATAGTACTCTGTGGGGACAGCTGAGGTGTGCAGGTCAGGGTGATGAGTCTCTGGCTGTTTGGAGAGTCCTAGCTGTGATTTTCCCGCAGTGGTCTTTTCCAGTATAGCTCTGTTCTGGGGTACATGCTGATTGGATAGCTTTGTGTTGTTGTCTTCTTCTTTACAACTGTCTTTTAAAACTTATTAAAGAGTAGTCACAGGAAATTAGCTTAGTTTTATGTTCCAACATGACTTGAGACAAGATATTAATTTGAGAGCTGGGCTCTGCCTCTTGATTTTATATTCCAAGTGTAAGTGCTGCTCTTTGGGGCAAGATATAATTCACAGAAGCTGAAATTCTGTTTACAGGTGAAACTGCTCTCAGCCTTGACTGAGATATAACAGTGGATACCCTTGCCCTCCTGATAACAATGCAGACCTTGGAAGCAAGCAGCACTGAATTCTGGGTGTGGATCCATACAGCTTTTTGTATCTGGATCTTTGGGCTGCTGAGCTGGGGTCTAAGGTACTTTTTTTGCCTATACAGGCTCTAACTAGAGAGAGAGAAAAAACAAAACCCTCAGTAAGTTTGCAGATGACACCAAGCTATGCGCATGTGTCTATCTGCTCGAGGGTAGGAAAGCTCTGCAGGAGGATCTGGATAGGCTGCACCGATGGGCTGAGGTCAACTGCATGAAGTTCAACAAGGCCAAGTGCCGGGTCCTGCACCTGGGGCACAATAACCCCAAGCAGAACTACAGGCTGGGAGATGAGTGGTCAGAGAGCTGCCAGGCAGAGAAGGACCTGGGAGTGATGGTGGACAGTCGGCTGAATATGAGCCAGCAGTGTGCTCAGGTGGCCAAGAAGGCCAACGGCATCCTGGCTTGTATCAGAAACACTGTGACCAGCAGGGCTAGGGAGGTGATCGTCCCCCTGTACTCGGCTCTGGTGAGGAGGCACCTCGAGTACTGTGTTCAGTTTTGGGCCCCTCGCTACAAGAAGGACACTGAGGTGCTTGAGCGGGTCCAGAGAAGGGCGACGAAGCTGGTGAGGGGTCTGGAGAACAAGTCCTACGAGGAGCGGCTGAGGGAGCTGGGCTTGTTCAGCCTGGAGAAGAGGAGGCTCAGGGGTGACCTTATCACTCTCTACAGATACCTTAAAGGAGGCTGTAGTGAGGTGGGGGTTGGCCTGTTCTTCCATGTGCCTGGTGACAGGACGAGGGGGAATGGGCTAAAGTTGCGCCAGGGGAGTTTTAGGTTGGATGTTAGGAAGAACTTCTTTACCGAAAGGATTGTTAGGCATTGGAACAGGCTGCCCAGGGAAGTGGTGGAGTCACCATCCCTGGAAGTCTTTAAAAGACGTTTAGATGTAGAGCTTAGGGATATGGTTTAGTGGGGACTGTTAGTGTTAGGTTAGATGTTGGACTCGATGATCTTGAGGTCTCTTCCAACCTAGAAAATTCTGTGATTCTGTGAAAACAAAAAACTGTGGTGTTATCAAATGATGGTGACCATGGAGAAATTTCTGCTCTAAGGTTTTGAGAAAATTTCAATAGTCCCCTCTCACCTAGGTAACAAAAAGTTAAGCATTTAGGCTATCATTTTGTATGATCTGAGGGGGAAGACGTATGCTTCTCAGAAGCATTGTAACACATTTAACTCTAATATTATGATAAAAGAAAATGAAAACATCAGCCTATGGCCTGGCTATACCAGTGGCAGAGGTGATTAGCATAGATGTAGGGTGCAGACCATGGACAGCTGAGATGAGAAGATTTGGCCCCAAACCAAACATGTCCATCATCTTGGGGCAGGGAATGCTTTCCTATGCTTAGTCTTCTGTTCAACACTATCACTAACTTCCAGTTAGGGCTGAGTAAAAGATGGTCACCCATGGCCCCAAACACAAATATCCTCTCACTACAGATCCCATTATTGCCCAAACTCACCTTTGGATGCCAGATCCTACCCCCACCCAAACAGCACCTCCAGGTTCTCATTCACTCAATGCTGACTCTAATTGTTGGCTTAGACTAAAACTAAGATGCCCCACCACTAAGATTCTCCTAACAAAGATCACTCTGGTGCTCCAATTTCCTGTGCTTACCTGATGGCAGGTCCACTCCAATGGTACCTCTAAACTCACTTTTTCACTCAACCCTAACCCTAATTTCTGAATGTCACTGGGACTGGGACATCCCCATCTCAGGCCCAGATGACAAAGTTTCTTTCTCCACAGGTCTGTTTGTTTCTGTAACTTCCCTTTGGTTGCCAACTCATTTTAATTGATTGAACATGAAATAATTTTGAACTTCTGTATTTAAAGTGGTAGATATCCTCTTGTGAGACAAAACTCTTTCAAAATCCAGTTGGTTGCACTGACACAAGATGCCCAGTACACTAACACCAAGTGGAACACAATATTGTGTGTAGAGGAGGGCTGAATATGAATCAGGAAATGTCACTTGGTTTTGTTGTGTGGTACAGACCAATATCTGTTTGCCTGAGAAATTGGAGAAGGCAGCTGTGTTTGGCCTTTATGACTTACCCATTTTTCTCAAAAGCAGGGAACTGGCTGTGTGATCTGCAGGGATATCACAGCATGAATGTAACCTCCATCTGTTCAGTGATACTACCTTTCTAAGACTTCTGATGGGGAAGTGTAAGAGGAGCTGTCTCTCAAACATTAGGGTCACTCTTTTGAGTAAGCACCACTCACGTAGGCAAAAGTAATAAAGTTAGTCACTAACTCTGTAAGAATTGTCCCTTCTTGAATAAAAAAGCAAAAATTGACCATAGGAGAAATCTAGAGATAAATCATTTAAGCTTTCCTGTAGACACTGTATTTTACTAGTTTGTTATTTCAACGTTCCTGGTTTCAGCTTTCATCATTTTTCAATGCATATGCCCAGCAACAGCACTCAACATAAATTTACAGCCATCCTTCTTAAATGGCTGTCTGTCACCATAGAAGATAGCTTGAAGAGCCTAGATCCCTTTGGTACTTTGTCCTGATCTGCTCTTGTTACTATAAACATTAAAGCATGTCAGACTAGCAGATTTCCCAATTTGCACAAATTCTAAAAAGATTAAAAAAGAGACTGTAGTATGGACTTTTTCCACTGCAATTGATGTGGCAATTCCATGATGCATTAAAAAAAAAAAAAAATCCTGAAGACCCGTACTAACAAAACCTGAACACACTAGTTTGCAAACAGCAATTAAGAAGGAAAAAAAAATAGAGAGCTAGTGGTTTCCCAGCTGCCAAATGCTATCCAGGGGTTATTGACTATCTGATTAGAATGAAATGGAGCTGAAATGCAATTGATTCAGGAATAAACAATGCATCTACTTAGGGTGATGGCCACAGAAAGCATAAGTGGTGAATGTGTCCCAAGTCAATTTATCAGGGGTTTCTACAGCAGTTGCTCATATATATTCAGTATCGTCTTTCAGAATACACTTTCTCTCAACTCTGTACAAAAATGCAGCTTCCTACTCAATCTTTCTGAAATTGAAAAAAGTCCTGTATATATCACAAAAAGTCTCTCATCTTATTACCAGCAAGTGCTCTACTTAGAGCAAGGAAAACAGTGTTAGCCTTAAAGCTAATTTGCTTACTTTTTCTGTACTTCTTGGACTACTGGCTAAGGCAGTATTTCCTTGCTCTGTGAGAGTTCAGTTTACTTACCCTCCTGTAATCTTCTTTTCCTCCTTATAAACAATCTGAAAGAATAGAGTGAATTTGAGTCCACTTTTTCCTTGCCAGTCATGGTCCCTTCTGTCTGTAAAACATTTTTTCTTGAATTATCAGTGTAAGAGAGTGGCATTCTCTTCCCTCTGTTCACGAGGAGATTATCTCCTTTCTCTATGAACGTGACTTCACACAGTCTGTAGGAAGGTGGTGTAGGTGTATTATGATTTGTTTATTTACAATAGATCATATTGCCCTATATTTTCCCTATCTGTTTTAATCAGGAGCAAGTCTCCTTCTTTATACTTTGAAAATTTCAAGCTGTGATTGTACAGTTAAAGACAACAAACATCTCTTGGTAAGGTATTTTTTTCATTTTACATGGCCACTTGTATTTTTATTTTTAATTTGATTGATATTCTTAACTGCTGGCCCATAAACTCTTGGGCTTAGTTTATGCTAATGACTGACAAGTTTTGCAATTCATCAGGAGCTAAGAACATACTGTATTTTGTGAAGAGTTCTGCTAGCAATCTGTATTGCTCTCTCCCCAGTCTGTTTTCTTTTGGATATGGAAGAATTGGGAAAATTATGCTTAAAATTTTAGCATATTCCAGTATTTTAAAAAGGACTCTGGGCTACCTTTGTTGTTAGTTGCTTATTCTGGGGGAAAAAAAAAAAAAAAGTTGCTTTTTCTTTGTATACCTTGACCTGTTGGCTTATGAGTTGAGTGAAATACAGAAATTCTAAAAACAATAACAATATCTAGCTTTGGACATTAAAAAAAAAAGTTTTTGAAAAGACACCAATTTAAAAAAGTAGATGATAACAGATGACCAGCTAGGTGTTTTTCTAGTGTGGAACAAAGGAAATTTAAAATATTTATAGGTAGCAGAATCATAAACAGAGATGAAGACTTGGTATTACTACCTTTTATGGCATTAAAGATATCAATATACGTTTAGGATGATCTTTAGAGTAGTGGATTATTTTAGCCTAATGCAGAGATGCATAGAAATATTTAACACCTAAAGTCAAAATGAATCAAATTCAAACTAAAAATATGGATTTTATTTATTTATTTTTTTTTTCAGAGACATTCATTAAACTCTGGAAGAATTTATACAATTCTCTGATGTAAGCACTGTCTCTTGAATTCTTTACATGAAAAGCTTTCTAAAACATATGTAATTCAAAAAGAAAAAAGTTATAAGTTTGATAAACAAACCACTTGATGAAATTTTACAGCTTGCAGTCAGACTACAGATTCATAAAGATACCTTTCACCCTTTAAGTTTCAACCATAAAACTGTAGTCACAGGGACTGCATGAACTGACTGTTTAGTCCAAAATGTTGTTCCCAGAACCTTCTCATGTCAGAGATGGTCATAAATTCAGAACCAGTGTTGGATGGAACAGATAGAAATGTTTATTTCCTCTTTTTTTTTTTTTTTTTTTTTTTTTTTTTTTTTTTTTTTTTTTTTTTTTTACAAATCTTCTATAATATTCTAGGGTAAGAGGCATAGGTCTTAGGGTGCCTCCACCTCATCCTGTAGAGGGATTTTCTGTTGAATGCTGAAGCTGAGCAGGTGCCCATTGGAGCAGCAAGCTAATCCCCCTGGATATGACAAGCAATAACCACCTTTGAGATTTTGAAGCCTGCATCTGCGACTCCTTTCTGAGTCTCTTTATTGACTTCTGCATTGTGGATTGTGAGAAGTGGTAAATTCGGAGTCACAGTTATGCAAGGTTATGCATTTGTACACAGGAAATACAATCTCAAGGTGAAACAGCACAAGTGAGAATAAAAGGGGAGGCCTCATCTCTTACTGGCTTATCTGTGCATGCCAATGTCATGTGGTGATCATCCCAGTGAGGTGGGATCCATTGTTCTTTCCCTTATGTGTATTTTGTTGAGTTTGTTTCAAGAAGAGGAATGACATTATGAAGCATTATTGCTGAGCCAAAGACCAATAATTAATAAACTCTTTACAACTGACACACAGGTACATTAAAGAACTTTTAAGAAATAGAAATCATTTAATTGGGGAAATGGAAGTTGTTTAGCTTAAGATGGACTTCATGCATTTTGTGTATTATGAAGACCTCTTCTACTTACAGAGCTGCATAAGACAGTTTCACTGTAAATGAAAATACATTGTTATTTTTAACAAGAAAAACTTCTGGTACTAGGCAGACTTCTTAAGCATTACTCTTTCTGAAGGACTTTACTGAATGCAAATGAAAGAAAAAGGAGGTTTTCCAAACTTAGGAAAAAAAAATCACTTCTGAATTCCAACTATTTTAATGTTTCTGTTTTGCCTACTTTTCATCTATGATTAATAATATGAGAAAGGATTTCTATACCATTGGTTGCTATGGTAAAAGTAGGCTTGTGTCCTGTTACAGAAACCTTGAACCACAATTAACTGTTTAATGTTTTTGGAGAAAAGGAAGATGTGAATAACACATTAACACCTTCAGAACCAGTAGCCTTTCATGCTAATGGTGCTGGGCTGAGATTTTTCCCTTTCACTAGGAAGCTCTAGGGCTGTTCTTTAGTACCCATCGGGTAGTCAGGGGAATACTAATAATGCTTTTCAGGCCATCTTGCTGAACATATAAATTCATGCATTTGAGGGCCAGCAAGAGATCTAATATTCTGTCTGGCACATTTAACATAGGTTATAGAGCTGAAATGAAAAAACAAAACAAAACAAAATGAAACACCACCACCAATAACATTTGAATGATGGCTTTTCTCAAGAAGTAGATCCATATGCATTTTTAAAACTTCAAATGTTCGAGAATTCATTGCATCTCTTCAAAAGAAACAAACAAAAAGAAAATAAAACAGCATTATGCTGTGTATTTACTTTAGCTCTAATGTTAAACAAAGGTAGAATGTTTTTTACTGTTCTTTCTGCTGGTTGTCTAGACATGCACAGCTCTGCCTTACTGTGAATTTTCTCTCTGTCCTTTCTAGTTGCTTTTCTGTATGCAAACCTGCATATGATAACCATACAATGAGAGCAGACTGGGACTTTGTTGCAGTGAATGGCTTTCCACTATGCAAAAAGAGATGGTCTCTGCCCTTGGATGCTTATACATCAGGGACAGTAATCAATCTTAGTGAACAAAATAAATCACTGGTGTCAGTTGCAGTACCAGGATGCTGACAGCTGATTTTATTTTATTTTATTTTATTTTTAAATATACGCATTGAATTTATTTAAGGAAATCAGACTAATGATCTAAAGAGAATAATTTATGCCAGATTTTCAGATGGTGTAGATCAGCATAGCACCACTGATTGTGATGAAGTGATGCAAATTTCAGTTAGCTAAAGAATTTACCTCTCTCCTCTGTGGGTAAGTATCACTTCATGAAAAGATAGGATTAAATCCCCCCCAAAATACTTATATAAAACTAGTATAAATTTGCAGGATGACCTGGCTGGGCAGCCATAAGTGATCCAGAATTTTGACTGGGTTTAGTCCTCTGATTAGAAAGTAAGTTTTTCTAGTTTATACCCAAATTTGATGTGTATATCTTTCTTGTCTTACACATTTATTCATCTTTAAATAGAACACAGATACTCCTGAATTGCATAAAAATTGTAGTCTCCATTGGTGACATCTTGCTTCATGTTTCATCCTTTGAAATTAAATTAATTGTTTAGCATTGCAGTCTCGAAAATAGGGCTTTGAATGTATTCTCTGATTATAGATTTTATCTCTCTGTGTTATTCCTCCAGCTTTATTGCTTTTTTTGCACAGCTTTATTCTACTTCTATTCATGGAACTTTGCTTCAAGTATGTTGAATGAACTCCACTCTCACTGTTTATGTCTGCGTTTGATTAGAAATTAATACTGGGCAAGTTTTTTCCACTGCTTAACTCTTCAACAGCCTGTAACTGAAGGATCAGCTGAAATAACCAGTCTTAGGCTGTATTTGCCAAAGAGTGAAGAACTATGGCAGGGAGAAAGGGGGAGGGAAGGCATAATACAAATTCTGTAAGGAAAGGGGTGAAATAGCAGAGAAGGGCAGGGTGAAATATAAATGCAAGTGAACTGTGGTAGGACAGAAATTTTGTTCTCTGAGTACTTTTTCTTCTAAGTGGAGACTTTAAAAGAGCAGTGGCTCCTTTGCACGAGTCCAGCCTGTTGTGGTCCCTCAGGATCCATTTGCCCACAGAGCTGGGTGAAGTTTCATGTGGGGGCAAGCCAAGCTGCAGAAAAATTGTTGTTTTACGGCCACTATTAGCCACTGAGTAGTAAAAAAAAAATAACCCAGGTAAGGTCACTGTGACAGTTTAGGACATCTGTGTATAAGAGTTCAGAAGACGTTGGAAATTCTTAAGATATTTATTTAAAAGTATTTTTGGCAGTTTTAAAAATTATTATTATTATTGTTACGGTTATTGTTATTGTTGTTGTTATTATTATTATTATTATTTTAGCAAGGAGTGCTTCAGTGCTGAACAAGTGAATTGTCCAGATTGTTTCACTGCTAATATGCATCCTGGCAGTTTTGCCTTGTGTCGGCTTGCAGTCTTCAAGATAATGTCCAGGTAAGGGTTACTGGGATGGGCTGTGCCAAGTGCTGTTTCAGCTGTGTGAACACAATGCTGCCAGCTTTGGGTCCTTCCATGCTCCACAGTCTTCCAGCCCAGTTCCAGGAGACCCTGTGCCTTCTAATACCTGTATATTCCTTTGTGCCACCACTTGGGCATGCAGAAATATCCCCTGATTTTCTACTGTAAGAAGTATCCCAATGCTGACTTCTGATGGGCTGCAACACAGACTTCTCTGTATTTGAAACACCTTGAAATGAAATGAAAGGAAAGGAAATAATAGGGCCACACAGCCTTACATGGGACACATCGGAGTCCCAATGTGAAGTGTCATAAGTGCATGAACACATGCACACAGTTGCTCTGTGTTATTTGGCCTCAGTACCAAAAAGCAGAGTCCTTGACTTTGTTTCATCAAGCAGTATAGACATAATCACCATCTAAAATCATGGACAAACTTTAGAAATAGAAGAGGAAAATTAGCTTCCTTTTCTTATGATTGTAATATATGAGGACTAGGTTGTACCGATATTTTTATCTGCTGATTATTCCTGCCCATGCAGAAGAAAGGTTATTCTCAATTTTATTTCAGAAATACCAAGCTGGTTGCGTGACTCCATCAGCTCAGAGACAAATCAAACCCCCATACACACATGCAATCCGTATTATGTCCAGATGCATGCAACAGTAGTCCAATGTACCTCTCAGTCTGGACTTGGCAGTGTCAGATGGTGGTATGGCTGCAGGCATCTCTGCTAGAGTACTGTTAGAAGACCAAGACTGACATAGCAATGTAGAAAGCAAGGATTCAGAGGAGCAATGAAAATAAGGAAAACCAGCAAAAAATCATAAGAATTCCTTCAATCTGGGGAGAAAGAGAGGCCTTGATTTTCCTTTGCATTTTCAGCCACCTAAATCAGGACAGATATCCTTAGTACCCTTGAGCAATTAAAAAGTATTCTTGGAGGAAAATTATTTTAGAACCAGGATAAAGAAGCCTATGTTGAGGCAATAACAGATGCACCATCACACTTCATACAGCTGACCGTTCACTGAGGTGAGGGACCTGCTAGCTAACACCCGTGAATGAACAGAAGGACTGTCTCATTAAGCTTGGACTTGTGTAAGAGTTAAAGGACATCATTAAATCACTAAGGAAAAAAAAGAAAAGAGCTTTAGAACAAAGGCCTTCCAACAGATGGAGATTTCATAGAAGAGGAAAAAGGATGACATGAAGAAAATTTGCTTGATACTTTAATACCAATGCAGCATTGCAGGGGAAAACTAAATGAAAGCTGAGAAATTGCTCACCACAAGGTGGCAAACAGTCACAGTTTCAAGACCGTCTTGGCTGGGTAAGGCTCGCCTAGCATGCACCCTGCTTCCCTTCCCAACTATTTATGGATCTTTCCAAAGGCAATTCTCACAGAGCAATTAGGATAGTCAGGCAGTGAGGGGCTGGGGGGGGGGGGGGGGGAATTGATGTGGCGTGAAGCTCACCAAGCAGCCTAGTACATGAGGCAGCATCAGGCAAAGGGCTTAGTCCGCAGGCACTGAAGCCGATGGAGGCCCTGCCACTAAACTCAGTGTGCTTTTTCGGTCAGCTCCTCCACACGCAGCACAGCACGTTAAGCAGTCATTGTGTTGCTGGAGGAGTTTCAGCTGTAGCATACCTTTGGGCTAAGGGCACCCTTCATTTGAAAGTTGACCATTAGCTTTTCTCACCAAAAAGGTTTTGTTCAGCCTGCAGTTTGTGTTGCTTTGCAGTGGATGTGTGGGTGCAGGCCTCTATCACCCTACCCAAGGAAGTGGAGCTGCTCAGTTAAACATTAGAGTCCCCTCAGTGCTGGCTGGCAAAGGGAAGCTTTCTGTACCTCAGATGGATACATTTCAACCCTAACTCACACAGAAGCTGATGTGTGGTTTTGAGGTCTGTGCTTACTTAAAGCAGGGAGAGACAGGTTTGTTGTTGTGTTGAGAAGAATGTGTTAAAATATATGCACAGAAAACAAAATGAACTCTGCGCTCTGAAAGCCTTTCTGAAAAGGTTTAAAAAATTCTGTGACAAATGTAGCCTGACATGAGCCACACAGGGGAAAGTGTGATTCTCGGGTGATGATTAAATAACTTATATTCAAGTTCAATAAGAACAAATAAATGAATAAGGCTTCTCCTAACCTGCTATTCCCAGGTATAGGACACAGTCACAACTTTAGGTCCCCAGCAAACTACTCTTTGCCTTAAACAACCTCACCACCTACCCAGTCCATTTGCCTGGCCATTACACCAGGCATTAATGACCATCTACAGATCACACAATGGGGTTAGAATGGATCTGCCTTGCTGCCACCATCACCGACTATTTTTTCTGCTCTGGGATTTCTTATGTTCTCTAATACTTGGCAACTGAGATATTAAGTTTGCTACTCAGCCAAGAAACCACCTCCAGATATGCTGACCAAGCAGCTGTCTAGCCCAAGAGGATGAAACAGTTTTTATTTTTGTTTCCTCCAGCTTTGAGGTTAACTGTCCAGGGACTGGTAGCAGCCAGCTTATATTCTACTGGTATGGACCGTGTTTCAAAACAG